CTTTTACAAACAAATAAAACAATTAATGACTCATAGAGTAGGAGAGGGCCAAAACCCATTGACAGGTTTCATTTTGCCACACGTGTCCCATTGGGGAGGTTTCCATTCACTTTCGGTTACTGGTACACAACAGGAAGTGAGTTGAAATCTCTTAAAAGTAAAAAATCTCCTTTGAGACAGGAGTCTTAAAGAGACCTTGTCAAAGAGGCTTAAAGACCCCAGGCACTTTGCCTTGACAAAGAGGATTAAAGAGACCAGTCACTTTGGGCAAAGTGTCAGCTTCTGTAAAAAGGCTCTTCCCACCCAATTATATCTACCTTTGCATCACTCCACCTAATCTTTTTTATTGTCACAGCCTGAACCTTAATTTAACAGCAATTAGCCTAGCGAGCTGTAGAGGAAGAAGTGGAGATGGACTGGTTGAGGGGTATATATCATTTGGTGGGTAGGGAGCCTTTTTTACAGACATTTCATATTTTGCCTTGATTTTTGCCATGCTTTGTGCTAAAAACAAGGAACAGAGAATTCTGCATGCTACAAACAAAGGCACATAAATAGTTTTGTATAGCTTGTGTAATGTTAGGGAGCTCACAGAGCACTCGCACAGCTTTTTTCCATTAACAAACAGTCTTTATTTTTCTTTCAAAAGGCAGACAATCAAGAGGTCCAACATAAAATAGCTTGCTGCAGCAGAACACATGTATTGGCTCACCAACCACCAAGTTGTTCCATACACTCATGGTGTACCAGTCTTTTAATAGTTCTCTCTTGCAGCACTGCTGCTCCGGCCTCAATCCTCAGGGCCACTGTCTGGTTCCCCCAGACGACCTCAATAACGTGCCAATCCTCACAACAGGCTTCACAAACCCGCAGCACTCCGCTGCACTGGCCTCCACACTGACTCCCGGGTGGAGCTCTCCTGTCTCCCAGGTGGGGGCCCTGAACACATCCCAGCACCCTCTTCATTAGGGATGTACATAGGTGCACAATTAGGTGCTGGTCGCTACTAACCCACAGAGCCAGGACTGGAGATTTCGTCCCACCCAGAGCTCTAAGAAATCTTCTGGCTCCAGGATCCCAACTATGATCCAGAAAACCTGGAAAGGACTGAAAAAGGCAGTTCTTTCCTGGTACCAGTAATGTCTTCCTGGAGCCACTCAGCTCTGGCTGAGAACCCTGGGTGACTTTGAGGCCACCTAACTCCGTGATATTGCCACGCAATGCCACACCTGTAATTGTGTAATTATTGGGGTTTATTTATTAAAGAAGTAGAGCATATTTATATTAGGGTCCATTCACACTACTATTAGTGAATGTGTGTTAATGTGCATTATGCAGTGTGATAGTATTGCATTAAGACAGCTCATTTGTTAGAATGGGATGTCTAATGCACAAAAACGCACAGAAAAAGGTGCATGTACCATTTCTGGCAACGCAGCACACTGCAACACACATTACCACAAAGGAATAGTATTAGGGATGTCCAGATACCAGTTCAGATACCAGTGCCGATACTTGACATTTTCATGAGAACTACCAGGGTTGCAGCGGTTGCAGCTGGGACCTGGCTCTGGCGCTCCACCACTGTCCTGAAATCATTAGTCTGTATTGTTTTAGAAAAACTGTCACATGACAATAAACAAAAATGTATCATGGTATCGGTGCATCCCATATACAGTATATATATTTATTTAAAAAAATAATGCATTAAAATGGGGATGTACAAATCTCAGGAGCTCCGTGTGCTCCCTAAAGATGACAGCTGCCTCCTAAGTTTTGAGTTTTTCTCCAGTCTGGTCCTGGAGCTGGAAAAGTATCTGTACATGTACTTGTACCGAGAACGGTACTTGGTATCTGAACATCCCTAAATAGTATGAATAGGTGAAATAAAGTAAAGACTAACTTTGCCAAGAATACCAAATCACGTGCAAGCGGGGAAAAAACACAGAATTTTTGTTTGAACATGATTGGATGATGGATGTCAGCACAACTTTAACCCATTCACATTCAGTAAGTGAATTCTCTCTTTGCAAAGTGAACTTTAACTTAGGTGACTAAGATACGGTGTTGATTTCCATTATCCTATCAAGTGCAAGCAAAAATCCTGTTTTGAGGAGGTGCAACTATCCCTGCTGCTGGGCTTCTCCACCTGTCTCCGATCTACAAGGCCCAATACAAGTGCGCTCTTCTTATACATTTGGGCAACGTGGCAACGTGGCTAGGGCCTGCATCCCGTTGTACTGGAAATTTACTGAATATCCTCCACTCAACCTATGGCTCTGGAAGGTGGAAGACATTCGAGTTATGGAGGAACTGACCTCTGCTCTCCACCACAGAGAAAAGTTCCGGAAAACGTGGTTCTACTGCCTGGATTTCATGTTCTCTCAAGAGTTCAGATGCATTCACTACAAGCTATGCAAATGTGACCAACAGTGCCAAGATGGTGACTATAAAGCAGGGGCTGACTGGCAACTCCCGCGCAGCACTCCACAGCCTGCCAATGGTAGGTGGGCAGTCTCCCTCCCAGCCAATAGCAGCAGAAGTGGGCGGAGGGAGCTGCCGTGGCCGCCGAGGAGCCCGATCAGTGACACGGGCATTCGGGAAGGCAGCCGAACATGCTGTTCTCCTCGGCCGCTGAAGTAGCGTGTTAGCGCCAGCCCAACGGGGGCCGTTTTTAGAGGCAACAGAGAGGCCCGGAGGGCAATTGCCACCCTGCCCCCCGGCCCAGTCCGCCCCTGCTATAAAGTGAAACCCATAACTTTCTTGCTGTCTGGTCTCCATATATAACATTGCAGGATAGTTTCCATAGGAACTTTAGACGGTGGCATCACAAGGGGGGTGCGGCCCGCACCAGGGTGACAACATTGGAGGGGTCACCCCCTCTAAAAGTCGGGCACTTGGTCATGGACCAAGAGCTCGACAGTGTCAGGAGAGAGGAGGGGACTCGGCGGCATACCCCATCCCGCCAGGTTAACATCCCCTCTGGCAGGCGTAAATGAGATGACTGTGCATGCGTGTGGTGACGTCACGCGCATGCTAAATTACGTCACGGCAGGGTGTCATCCGGTCTCCGCTCCGGGTGACACCCGGCCTCGGGACGCCCCTGCTTTAGAGAGTTGTCTGAACTACTTGTGTGTGCTAGTTCGTTGCTAGGTACACATAATACCATGCCTCATTGAATGTTGGAATCATAGAAAATGTTTGCATATAAATGTACTCACCTCACACCAACTCCCCATCTCTATGATGGGAGGAGCAGGGTCTGGTAGGCTGTGTCGTTTGTCTTCTGTGGAGTATATTTTATTGAGAAGAAAAAAGATTCAGCAGTGGTGCAGCTTCCTTCATTTTGAATTGTCACTTCAACTGCCCTGTGACCACAGCATCCGTGGCAGGCAGCAAAGCCATAACCATCTGAACCAGTGCCTTTTGGAGTTGCTTTTGCCCAACACTGGTGTACTTTTTAAGCAGTTACACTATGAGGCTAAAGTATGAAACATGCATCCAAATTATTGAGTTCAGGCGTTTCCCATTAAGGTTCTGATAATACTACTGCATACAAAGTCATATTAAACAATTGTGTACTTCAGACCTTATAGTAATAGTTTAGAGAAGGCCCAATTTTGTTTCCAGCATGACTGTGTCCCTGTGCAATGCCAGCATCATAAAGGCATGTTGTGTAGAGCAGTGCTCCCCAACCTTTTTATCGCCGCGGACCGGTCAACGTTTGATAATTTTACAGCGGCCCGCTGAGGGGGGGAAGTTGATTGTTTATATTTTAGATTGTTTTGGTTTAATAATTTTAATTTGTGCTGTCAGTGCCATTATTTTCTAATGGCACCACAGTCGTGCCAGGCAGATTGAGCTGCTGCAATACAATATTTAAGAGAAAAAAAGTGTAAAACGCACTTGCCCGGCGCACGGAACTACATGTCCCGGGCTTCGGGCGATACGAATTCCGCGGCCCGGTACCATTTGATCCATGGACCGGTACCGGTCCACGGCCCGGGGGTTGGGGACCACTGGTTTAGAGTATGGTGGGGAAGAACTGCATAGATTGGCCTACACGGAGGCCTGACCTCAGCACTACTGAACATCTATGGAATAAATTGGAATTCCAAGTGGTAGCAATGTCTTTTCTCTTTATTATCTCTTTGTTACATTTCTCCATATCAAATACAATTTCAGAAAACATAAACAGAAAAAGAAACATAACGGAAACAACATTAAATACATAAAAATCTAGAAATGCAATATAGATAAACATCATAAAAACAAAAAATAAACTAACAACGCTCCCAGCATCAGCATTTGACCTCACAAATGCTTTAAATGGACAAATTCCCACAGCTACACAATCCAAAATTTTGTGGAAAGCCTTCCCAGAAGAATAATGGCTTTTATGGACTTAAAGAGGGGGCCAATGCCGTGTTAATGCTCATGGTTCTGAAATGGGGGGTCCTTCAAGCGTATATCCGTGTGATGGGCAGGTGTTCACAAACTTTAGGCCACATGGGTTACATAAGCTAATACAGCCATTGTTACACCCTGAGAATGAAAAGAAGTGACAGAGCTGTTGTTAAAAGACAGCAGACAGCATGGTGATATAATGAATGTAGCACAGAGGTCAAAGCATTCATAGAATTCGAGAATAACTAAATATAAACATAAATGAAAACACAATGACAACATTTTTATTTCACCTTTGAGATCACATTTTCCTCTCAGGTACACTAGTCCATCTGATAAAAATGCACAATTACACATAAAAAATTGCTACTCCAGCCATACTTGATCCTTTCTCTTTGCAGTATTTTATAAAATGATGAGAACAGTAGCTGTGCCCCCTTTTGAAGCACTCATTTACTAATGTATTGTTATAACTTTCTAGACACAGTTTATCTTGTCACACTTTGTTTATAATGTGTACTTGTACAATGACATTTTACCATTAGTTTTTGATCAAACTGTCATTTCTCATTTGCATCTGCTTTCTCATCTAGGATACCCACTTCTGCAGGTTCGTAGATAACCTCACAGAATATGCAACACAAAGCATACTGGCAGCCCCTATAATGAACGGCAAAGATGTAGTGGCTGTGATAATGGCTGTTAACAAATTTGATGGCACCTGTTTCACCCAAAGAGATGAAGAGGTAAGGTGTGATTACTCACAGTCTGTAGTCTCATGTATTCAATGTTATTATGAATTATTGTTTATCAGAAGTGTCACCAAGATAGAAGACAAACAGGTTTCATGATGCTACAATCCATAACGTTACTTATACTTATTTGCTCATGCAGAATAGTAAAAATGATGTAATAATAATCAGGGAGGCATTCCAAAGATAAGGCTCTATTCTGTAGACAGCACCACTGACGTTGTTTTAAAGTTGAACCCCAGGTAGATAAAGATATAAATGAATACAACTCAGGTTAATAAAAAAAATACAGATCTGTAATCATTAATAATGTGAAACTCCAGGAATTATCTTTTTTGCAAACTTACATTGGTCCAGCTTATCTTAATGTAAGTATCCATATATGATATCCGTAGGGCCGCTGGGGATGCTGAAAATCAATGTAGTAGCCCTCACTATATACAATCATAGCAAGGAGTCACTCATTTGGCACCACTGCCATTCAGAGAACCCCTTGTATTTTTTTAATGAATACAAAGGGGTCTATTCACTAAGCTGCCGTAGGCAGCCGAGTGAATGATCGACCTAAAGCGAAGTGAGCTGAACGCTGTTCGGCTATTCACTTCAGGCTGGTACGGCTGATTTCAGCCGTATATCGGCTGAAATCAGCTGTACATCAGGTGGCTTCGGGTCGGCCGAACATGCTAGGCATGTTCGGCCGACCCGAAGTGCAGAAGGAGTCCGACTCAGCCGATCCAACATCTGGATTGGCTAAGCCGAACCTTCGGCAGGCTACTCGCTGCTGTTTGGTCTATTCTTATAGATGCCGAACAGCAGTGAGTGAATAGTCGAATGCAGCCAAGCAGAACAGAAAAATAGCTTAAAAAATAGAAAAAAATAAATAGAAAACGATTGTGCGAAGCTAGCAGCTAGCTCCGCCCAACTGTTTTCTATTGGCCGGCGGTTCTGCTGCCGTCAAAAAAAAGAAAGAAAAAAAAACTCTCCCAGGCGCCAAGGAGAGAAACACTGCTGTTTCTTTTTTTTTCTTTATTCTGACATGGAGCCGTGTCAGAATAGAAAAAAACTAATTTTGGCCATAGGAATGCATTGCTAGATTCCTATTGGCTATTTCAATTTGCAATAGCCAATAGCAAACTAGCTATTGTTCCCGCCCTCTGCTGCTCTCAATCAGTAGTGGTGGACCTGATGGAGAACTGCAGCAGAGGGCGAATGCAATGCTAGTTTGCTATTGGCTATATCCGTCGGCTGCTTCGTGAATAGATCCCAAAATGTTTTCTGATTGGACAAGGTGGACAGGTGGGGTGGTTGACGTCACAAACTCCACCTTCTTCCTTAAAAATATTTATCATTTATCTATTCATTTTTTACTTGTTATGATTGGCTAGAGATCTGCTTTAAGTAATACAGCATGGTACAGCATAACGCATGGTTTTTTAAACAAATGAATGCCCACAGATTTGTGTGGATGGGAGGTTTATCTCTTTGTGATTTAAATTGTAAAGTTCTTAATTGTGCCTTTGATTACTCTGAATTTTCCAATACCACTATGCTAACACAATTTCACATGACTTGACACATTTGGGCTTATTTATTAAGCCTGTGCAAAGAACAAACATGAGGTGAAAAGTGTATTCCATCTCTTATCAGTTTAGAACAATGAATGATAATTGCTGAAGAATTGCTATGGATGGTTGCCTCAATGTTGCATTTTGCCTTAATAAAGGCTAATTCCACCTTTAATATCATGTTCCATGTCACACACACATTTAGGAACATAGCGTTCCACAGACCCCCAACCCTCAAACTGCACCCCCCGCCCCCCTACACGCACACGCGCGCACACACACACACACACACTTTTCTGAATTGTGTGGTGCTTCTCCCTGCAGGCCCCTGTATATTTTGTCTTTAATATCACTGTAAGGAAACCTTCTTTTCTGGCTTTAATGTCTGTTTACTAACTGCATGTTTAACCTAATAGATGCTATGTGTAATTTGTGGTTGCACTGTTTTTCAGATGTTCCTTAAGTACCTCAACTTTGCCAACCTGATTCTCAAGGTGTATCACCTATCCTACCTTCACAACTGTGAGACTAGAAGAGGCCAGGTATAGCGTGTTTCTCGATTTGCTTGCTTTTGAAAGCTAATCAGTAACTTTGATTCTATCTCCTTTTGTGCATGGCACAGATCATTGGAAGCCATAGTGTGCTACCCATTTCTACCTTTCTTATTTTTCTTTTGCAGATATTGTTGTGGTCAGCCAACAAGGTCTTTGAAGAGCTAACAGACATTGAACGACAGTTTCACAAAGCACTTTATACGGTCCGCGCCTTCCTTAACTGTGATAGATACTCTGTGGGTCTTCTCGATATGACGAAAACAAAGGTAGTTTACGCTAATCACTAAATACTAATGTTTAAAGGAAAACTCTGGGCATGTAAAATATTAACCCTTGCAGTGGGGCTACCCCCGCACTGCAAGGTTTAGGTGCTCATTTTGGTCTAGGGTCTAAAATAAAGAAGATATACTCACCTGATCATTGGTCACGTGGCAGTAAGTGCTCACCTCTCTCACCCTCCACTCTGACTGGGGTATGTCCCTCGGCATCCTCATGTCCAATACATGTGAATAGACCTTGCATAGACATGATGATGTTGATGGGGATTAGAGCTGTCTAGCAACCAGGCAGGACCGAGGATCGGGTGAGTATATTTTTTATTGTAGACCCTAGACCAAAATGAGCACCTAACTCTTGCAGTGCAGGGGTAGCCAAACTGCAAGGGTTAATATTTTACACGCTTGGAGTTCTTCTTTGAAGAGAATGTATAGTTTTCCCTTGTATTTCTTTATTTGTGTATTAGACTCAAATATTTAAAAATATTAAGATTCTTAATTTGATCAGTGCTGCACGATACACTCTGTACTGTATATATTAAGATTAACTGTATATTTTGTATTTGCTTCTTACTGTAAAATAAAAACACATTTTTATCTTTAAAAGTAATATGGCTCTTATCATTCTGGTTTTCTGCAGGAATTTTTTGACCAGTGGCCAGTTCTAATGGGTGAAGTGCCACCATATTCTGGACCAAAGACTCCAGATGGCAGAGTAAGTATTTTTTGTACTCACCAAAATTTATTTAATCATAATAGCGATTTAAAGTCAGCTTTGGGGAAGGGGGCTACACTCCTGAAATGCGTAAGCGCTGATGACTGCGCAGGCGAGCCCAGTGATAGTTAAATACTCCATTGTGCAATGCTGTCCATTGAGTCCAGAGGACTGGATTGATGTTGTATATGCCTATATGCATGTTATGCTTCTGAGTATTTTAATCTACTTTTATTTCATAATCTACATTTATCTACTTTTAATAATTATTATTGAAACAATGGGGGTTATTCACAAAGCTGCCGATGGCAGCCATATGAATAACTTACCCGAAGTGAAGTGAGTTCGCTGTTCGGCTATTCACTTCAGGCTTGTACGGCTGATTTCAGCCGCATACCGACTGAAATCAGCCATACATCGGCTTGCTGCTGCTGGGTTCGAGTCGGCCAAACATGCTCAGCATGCTTGGCCGACCCGAAGTGTAGAAGGAGTTCGACTCAGCTGATCCAACATCTGGATCAGCTGAGCCGAACCTCTGGCATGCTACTCGCTTCTGTTCAGCCTATTCTCATAGAGGCCGAACAGCAGTGAGTGAATAGCCGAATGCCGCCGAGCAGTACCTCTGTGGTACCGAGCAGAATGGAAAAACTGTAAAACAAAAGTCGAAAAAAAAGTCGAAAACAATTGGGCGGAACTAGCAGTCTCTATTGGCCGGGACCAGCTGTCATTACAATGAGAGCTTATCGGAGCCAGCGGTGATATCAAAGCCGGCTCCGCTAAGCTCTCATTATAATGACAGAACAGCGTCCCTGGTCACTAGGTAACCAGGGGCGCTGAACTGTCATTACAAACTGAGAACTCCCTGGTTACGCTGATCTTTCTTCTGCATGCAAGCGGCTGGAGCCAGCCACTTGCTGGCTCCAGCTACCTTCTCATATATCACTTGCCCCTCCTCTTTAGATTGTAAGCCCTCAGGGGCAGGGCCCTCCTTACCATCTTGTCTTAAATCGTATTGTGATTGTAATGTCTTCCTTATGTTGTAAAGCGCTGCACAAACTGTTGGCGCTATATAAATCCTGTATAATAATAGTATAAGTGAACCAAGAAGGGAGGGATGATGAGGAAAACAGTACCACTTATCGCAGGGTGAAAATTGTCATTAGAAAGGTTTTAAAAATTGCCATACTGATTGGTTCTCCTGAGAGTATGTGTGGAACTAATAGACATGATTTCTCAGCCCAACTTTGTTCCAAAACAGCTGAATTGGCGACTGTCTTCTCGTGTCTATGGGAACCCTTAGGCGTGGGTAGAAAACCATGCACTGTACCCCAAGCACACATTTTTGTGAGCACTATGGCACTCCCACTATGACCCACTACCAATATGTGATTCTTTCAGAACAAGGGCTACAGAATCAACACAGTTCAGTTCAAAGTACTTGTTCTACAATGAACACCCTCTAATGCAAAGATTGTGCATAGGAGATATCACATATGTACATTAGACTACTATTTAATATCTTTGGCCTGCTATAGGTATGATATGCTGGATGTAAACAGTTACATTTTTTTGTTTGCATTAAGACTTCCTCACTAAAAGATTTACAACTTTAATGAAAATATTGAACTTGATTGCTAACTACAAAAAACATCTTCCAAGTGTCTTCCTTTGGACAAAGCTGATACTAAGCAATTTGGAACAAGATTCTAAAGCAATGCCAATTCCAAATGGTGCGCTATTGGCGGTTCTGACTAGTCAAGAAAACACTTTTAAGAAGTGATTCCATAGATTTGGGTTATTTATGTTGTTTATTTCTCAGATCGGTTCATTAGTAAATGGAGCCCAAAAATGTCATTAGAATATTTGACATCTAAATATTTAATATACTATTATAAGTATTTGCTTCTACATTTTCCAGGAAATATCCTTCTATAAAGTGATCGACTATATTGTGCATGGAAAAGAAGAGATTAAAGTCATTCCGTAAGTTTTCTTTTTTTTTGCTTGCATTTTTAGCTTTTACTAAATGTTTTTTTCCCTGAAAGTAATTGTTCATCTGATGTTAAAATAATTGCATTTATGCTAAGTAATTTACTAAGTTATCGTTCAGTCTGGTTCATGCTGCTTGTGTTTTGAGCAATTTGCTAATAGTGAAAGGATCTATCTAAATTACACCCTTCAAATTTGGGTCTGCAGTGAAAAAAAGAAACCCAACATTTTCCAATGTAGCTGGAGTTTATTCTATCAAGAAATTCAAATACCATGATCCCCTCTGCCCACTGCTCCCTAATAATTAAAGTGTCTGTGTAGGGATTGTATATGTATATGTATTGATACATATTGCTTAATGCCTATGTACAGTATAGACATACCGTGAGGGAGATTTATCAAAACTGGAGCAGTCAGAATCTGGAGCAATTGTGAATGGCAACCAAACAGCTTTTATCTTTCATTTTCATAGCTCAACTGAACAAACTGAAAAGAGAAGCTGATTGGTTGACATGGGTAACTGTTCCAGATTCTGTTTGCTCCAGTTTTAATACATTCCCCCCTGTATGTATAGGCAATTTTAGATACAGTGTGAAAGGATTGGAACCAGCGTTAGGTTTTTATTACTGTCTGCATCCTGGCTGAGGAGATTCACCCTTGCTATCTATTATTTTGGTAAACATTGTCCCCAAGACAGAGATGATGAGGAATCCAAAAGTTTACAGTTATTACCACAACAGGTGGTGAAATTAAATATTCCGTTGGTAACACTATTCTATAAAGGTAAATACCCTCACTTTATAAAGATATCCTGTTGCATCACACACTAAGTGGCCTATTCACAAAGCTACCGAAGGATCTAACCGTAGCTTCAGCTGATCCTTTGGGTAGCTTCGGCCCCAGGACCCCTTCGGTTCAGGGCTGCTGTACGGGCTATTCAGGAATATGCTTTGGCTCGACTGAGCCCAGGGGAAATTCGAAGCTGGCCGGCCGACAGCCTGCTTCCGACAGCTGGGCGGACAGCTGGCTCCGGCCACTTGCAGAGAGATCAGCGTCCCTGGTTACTAGGTAACCAGAGATGTCGTTCTATCATTACACTGAGAACCCGTCGGAGCTGCTGTAAAATCACAGCAGCTCTGCCGGGTTCTGTGTGTAATGACAGAAGGCGTCCCTGGTTACCTGGTAACCAGGGACACCTTCTGTCATTACAATGAGAGCTTAGCAGAGCTGGCTTTGATATCACCGCAGGCTCCGACAAGCTCTCATTGTAATGACAGCTGGTCCCGGCCAATAGAGACTGCTAGTTCCGCCCAATTGACAGAAGGGACACCTTCTGTCATTACACTGCGGCTCCTCAGTACACTGAGAACCCGGTGGAGCTGCTGTAAAATCACAGCAGCTCCGCCGGGTTCAGTGTGTAATGACAGAAGGCTCCTGAGTACACTAAGAACCCGGGGGAGCTGCTGTAAAATCACTGCTGCTCTCTACCAGGTACCCAGGGACGCCCATGTGTCATTACGACGAGAGCTTAGGAGAGCCGGCAGTGACATGAAAGCCGGCTCTGCTAAGCTCTCATAATAATGACAGAACAGCGTCTGCTGGCTACTAGGTAACCAGCAGACGCTGTTCTACCTTTAGGATGAGAGCTTAGCAGAGTCGGCTTTCATATCCCCTGGCTGGCTCCGACAAGCTCTAATTCTAATGACAACTGATCCCGGCCAATAGAAACAGTTGGGCGGAGCTAGCTGTCACTGCTAGCTCCGCCTAATCTATTTTTTTTTCTACTTTTTTAAGTGTCTTTCTATTCTGCTCGGAACCACAGGGGTACCGAGCAGAAAAGCCGAGCCAAATTCGGCTATTCACTCACTGCTGTTCGGCATCTATGAGAATAGGCCGAATAGGCCGAATCAGCTGAGTTGAACTCCTTTTGCACTTCGGGTCGGCCGAACATGCTGAGCAGGTTTGCCGGACCCGAAGCCACCCGATCTACGGCTGATTTCAGCTGTACAAGCCTGCAGTGAATAGCCGAACGGTGTTTGCATCACTTCACTTTGGGTCGTTGTTCACTCGGCTGCCTACAACAGCTTTGTGAATAGACCCCTGAGAAAATAAACTTAAAGGGATTTCAACCCCTCCCTACACCATCCAAAACCAATATAAATGTTTTGTTTATATATCCTTAAACAATGGGATCTCCTTGGTTGACCTGGTATTACTGCAGGTAAAACCTGTAAGAATTTCTATTCTGAGAAATTCTGGGACCTGCAGGTGAGGAGGCACCTCTTTTTTATCACACATGTGGTCACAAACAGACAGGACATTTCCAGTAGACCCCTTTAGGGTGTAATAAAATATCATAATCTTTTTTGTTTCACTTTAGGAATCCACCAGCAGATCACTGGGCTTTGGTTAGTAAACTGCCCACGTATGTTGCAGAAAATGGTCTTGTAAGTATAAGTGATGCGTGATATATTATGCATTGGAGGGACACTAATACTGTATATAGCATGCAAAAACAAAAGATAAGCCTATCCTCATATATGCTACCTTAGAGTTTAAATTGATAATAAGAAAGTTTCTAAATCACATACTATGAGACCGGTTTACTTTAAAAGCTGAGGATTTTCACTCATCAAGGAGCTGTGTTCACTATGAATACCTAATCATGTGCTGGTGAAATAAACAGACATTTGCTTTTCACATAATTGGACAGTTGAAGTGGATCTTCACAAACTATATTGAAATGTAATAATTCTCGTTACTCCTTTAGTAAATTACTCTCAGTATTTCAAGCAGTGTAGTTCGGGAAAAAAATGGAAGTACACTAAGGAAATGTACATTTGTTTTCAATTGGAAGCTGTAAAATTGGTTATATTGTAGGCTAAGAAACAACTTGGGCCAAGCTGGAATTCCTTTATACTAACTGGAAGTGTTTCTTTCAGATTTGCAACATTATGAACACCGGTGCTGATGACTACTTTGCGTTTCAGGTAAAGATTTTAAGATTTACTTAAGTCAAAATGTAAATATAAGCCTTGATCTGAATACAGGAAGTACACCCTACATATTCAGCTTCAGTTTTCACCCAGATATAGCTGTAATGCACAACAACACCCAACTCATCTTTGTCTGTAATCTGGTGATCTGGGAACCCAATTTGTTTACCCGTTTGTACATTCCTAGCGCTCCCACCATAGGCTCCTCCTTACCAGACATATTCCGAAAGCCTTACAATCAAGGTATAAATGCTAAGTTTCTTAAAGAGGCATTGTGCACCTATGGAGTGCAAAGTTACAGTATCTCTGCAAAGGGCCCCCCTTTGCTCACCTTGCCTGTGTTCCCTTTCCACTCGTATCTCCGTTACAGCCAGGGAGCAGTGATGCCACTCTCTCTCTCATGTGACAATGCTAGCCTGATCACCATCACAGGGTAGCAGATAACATGCTCCCGCATACCAAGATGCACCAAGTACTGCCACTGGCTTCGACATATGAGAGTGCGGTGAAGAAGCACAGGCAAGGTGATTATAATGGGGTCGGTGGGGTCCTTTGTAGAGACACTGTAGAGACACTGTCACTTTGACCTACAAGGGAAATGTGACAGTGTCTATTTGAAGCCACCAAAGCATTCAGTCATGTCTGGAAATATTGAATTTGATTGGTTAAGCAAGGATGCTAAAAAGGTGCAGCACAAGCTTTAGGAAGCAAATATTCTCACCAACATGTGAAGATTTCTCTGAAATCCGAATGCAGTAGATTACTGAGAGTTTAGCTTAAGGTAAGATAAGCAAATTTCTAACAGTTGCAGTGTTTGCTTGAAAGCTTTAACAGTTGATATGTACCAAATACATGTAAATTTGAAGTTGTGCATTTTTGTGGAACAGTTGAAATCAAAAGTTTGGAAAACTATAAATAAGTGACATACTAAAAACATTAGCAGTTTATTTGTTTATCATTACTTAAATTGATGTAAAGTGTAACAGATCCATTGTAATTTTGTTTGACCAGACTGAATGAACAGAATTAGACTCTCTTCTCAGGCTGGTTATAATAATTTTAACTATGTATAAAGATTACCAGGGTTATTCACAAAAGGGTGAAGAGTTTGTAGAAGGCAGGAGAAGTGAACAATCTAGGACAACGTAGCTGAACTGGAACAAGAGGTGAATTGGAATTTTTTTCCAAATGAGCTATTTTGGCCTAGATTGTTCACTCTTCCTGCTTTCTCCAAACTCTTCATCCTTTTGTGAATAGCCCTGTAAATGGTTGTTGTGTTTATTTCCTTAATTGACCAGTGGTAACATAAAATTATCAAAGATGAACTAGAAATCGGAGATTGTAGTGCAGCCTCCTAGATCATTGGGGTGCCCAAGATGCTGGTTTCTTTCTGGTCTTACCTGTAAGTCTCTTTTTGGGCACTACCCTAACTGGCTTAGAGCAAATGCCGTCTCTGTTCTTTTATAAAAAAGCTCTATTTGTGGTAAATGCCATGACGCCTTTCTGGAACATGTACTACAAGTATGTTCTTTCATCTCCATAGAAAGGCGCAGTTGATGACTCTGGGTGGATAATCAGAAATGTCCTTTCAATGCCTATCGTCAACAAAAAAGAAGAAATAGTGGGGGTTGCAACATTTTACAACAGAAAGGATGGGAAGCCATTTGATGAAATGGACGAAGTGTTAACTGAAGTAAGCATGTCTTATAGTGTGATAATGCATAATAAAACATACATAATACATAATAATAATTTAAACCCACCTACTAGTAATGGCCATAGCAAATTTGTTACAGATAATAGCAGTTTTCTTGTTCTATGCATACCCTATTCTTCTTTTCCTCTCCATTTTGTTTACAGTGACCATTTTTACTAAGGACAGATTAATCCATCTCCCTTTACTTCCTGGAACTCTGGCACATGTGACTAGGACATGTGACCATGCACATCATCTCAGGGGGGAAATGTCTTTCCCTGAGATTTTGCAAGATTTTGCAGTTTACATATGAGATTTCACAGCAATGCACTGTTATGTAACCTTCCCAGGATGCATCTCTTAGGCATGGGCAACATCACTAATGGCCAAGAGGAACAGGAAGTGGAAAAACAGTGATTGCAAGTAAAAGAAAAATATGTTTATTTAACTAATGAATGTGAGACAATTTCATATCAGCGTGCAGAGCTGAACGCTGATGTGATTTTTAGTGAAAGGGGTACAGGTCCACTTTAAGAAAAAAAAAACACTCCACCGGTGGCAGGCAGAGGGAATTTTTAAAAGTCAAAAACAGTTGTAACATGGAGTGTTGACACTGCCAGGACTTTTTATGCCTGGGGTGCTTCCATTCAGGGATACAGACTGCAATAAAAACCTTTAAGCTCTCCATAACTAAAAAAAAAAAAATGGCTTTAGCTACACCTAATGTTTACTACCTGTGATCTTGTCCATAAAATGTAATATAGTAGAATACAAATTAGCAATGGCATGTGGGGGCATGCAGTGAGAACTGGTGGACAGAATTCAAAATACTTTTCATGATTACAGCCCCAAATGGATTGCCCAATCTGTCTTCACAACATCTTCACAGTCTAAATCATCATCATCTCCAGTTCTGTTAGGTTCCAGGATGTCTTCAAAACACGTCAATAGACCTGGCGCTAGTTTATATATGGAAGGCTAGAAATACAAAAGACAAAGCACAAATATAGAAGTTATCTACAATTAGGGAGGTTTTTGCTATTTTTCGCAATGAAAACATCCAGCTACAATTATTGTTAATGTTACTCAAGTGTCATCTGACACATCAAGGTAATTTTACCACTTTGATTTCAAGTCCAGTAATAAGGAGGATCTTGTTTCAAATCATATACAATTATCCAAAGATCCAGTCCTGTGCCCCAATTATTTGGTTCCCATACCACCAAGGTGTATGGATATCCCCAGTTATGAACCCCTGCTACCAACATTAATTTATTCCAAGATCTACAGATTTAACATGATAAAAATATTCCTGTGTTCAATAGAAAATATATTAAATTGTTAATTGTTAAATACAAAAATAAAATCCTGCCGAAGAACGAGAAAAAAAATGATGTAATACATTTTATTTACTAAGTGAAGATTCCACGGTTCTGTTGTACAATATGAAATATATATTGGTATGGGGGAGTTATCCTTTCAAGAGTTTACTGAGTTTCAAATGGGTTATCTGAATCTTGATGAACTGGCTTTGATAATATTTATTTTTCTTTGTATTTTTTTAACTAAAATATGCATAAAGCATTCTCCATTAGTGTTTTATTGACGTTAATATGTGCTAATTTATTAAACATTCCTTATAAAACATACTGATTTGCTATGTTCTTCCTGCAGTCTTTGACACAGTTCCTTGGCTGGTCTGTTCTAAATACAGACACATACGATAAGTTAAACAAACTGGAGAACAGGAAAGATATTTATCAAGACATGGTCAACTATCATATAAAGTGCAACAATGATGAGCTACAGATAATTCTGGTAGAGTAACACTGCTATTTTTTTATTTTAATTTTTCAATTAACTATTAGTTATGTGTATGTGGTTATATATGGCATTTACTCCTGATCTCTTCACTTAGAAATCCAGACGATACTAAATAAAAGATAATTTGTGGCTAATTAAAAACGCCTTATCATAAAGAATTGCCACCTCATACTTACCTACCGCAAGTGACTGGTGGCCCTCTAGGCACTTGGCCTGCTCTTTGGCCAGCCTTGCCAAGTACACAGCTCTAAGACCCGTGTCTGCCCCATCTAATAGCTAGAATTTCGATTGTAGTACATTCAGGCATGCCTAGAATGTCAGCAGATGCTTCAGGTCTGAGCTGTGCAACTACATATGTTTTTCCATTGGCCTGTTTTCTGGATTATGATGTTCATTTGTCACCTTTAGCAATTAATCAAGGTTGGTAATACTGTGAAAGGATACCCAACGTTTTGTTGATACTATAGGAAAAGTCTATATCTGATAGGCTGTTTTACTTACCCTACTACCCTCTATATGTTGACAGTGCAGAGCCATGCTCCTGCTGGGAAGGATCACAAGAATATTGTTGGGATCCACCATGGCTACCTGATTGACAGCTTGCTCAGCTAGAGTAAGCCTTGCCTGCCCCCTCCCCTGTCTGTCTCTTCAATGAACACTGGAGAAATAGAGATGGGAGGGGGAATACCTGCAAGGAGCAATGACTGACAGTCACTGCTCTCTGCAGGGAGAATAGACTGAGAGCATAATGATCAGTGGTTACATGATCACTCAACTCTTGGTATATAGCCGCCTTGTGACAGCTGGAGTCCCATGCCGGCACTAAGCAGCAGGGAAAGCATATTTTACACTCCCAATACTTCTTTAAGTTTTAAATAGAGTAAGGAATGCTTACAACCTTCTCATCTGTGGTCCAATTGGTGTCCATCACCTTCTTTCCTATTGACAACATTGTCAATAGGACAGAATGTAAGGGGTAACCTTTCTTACAATATACAATGAATATGAGGAAGGCCACAGTGATAGCATCGCCAGGATAAGAAGTGAAAGGAAATCTTCCCAAGTTGACAATTCAAAAAAAAGAAAAAAGTTGGCGGTGTCACACTATATGTGTAGGAAGGGGAGGGGGCTGAATGTCCAACGGTGCTGCAGCCATGTGTGATAGACGGTGAGCATTTGGGGAAGATGAAGAAGAGACAAGAGCTGAGCAGCGGATAGCTTGAAAAAGAAGTCAGTGACTTTGAAACGCGTAGCCGCTCTACACAGCTTACACAGCCTTCACCCGACTCGTGCCTGTGTGTTCTGCCAGCTCCGGGCACGAACCAAGTGTTTTTACTAGCCAAAAGCAGTTTCCTCCACCGCTACTCGGCTCAGGTTGCTCACCGGACTGCTTCTAACAACCGCAGCACCGCGGCATACCCAGACGCCCCCTCCTCCACACACATAGTGTGTCACTGCTGGCCTACTCCCCGGTCGCTCACCGAACTGTCACTGATGGCCGCAGCACCGTTGTTGCTCCAGCCCGACCCCTCCCTCTCCCCCCTCTTCAAAAAGCGTGACTCTGCTGATCTCACTGTCATGGGGATCACTCGGCGTCACTATGAGAATCCTCTGACAGGTCTCCCAAGGACAGATCCGCCCACCAAAGCCTGTCAGCAATTGAGAAACTCAACGTTCTGCCTCCGTGCCATCCGTACCCACCAGGACATCCACTCTGAACCAGTGAAAAGCAGACCTAAATCCCATTCAGGAACAGACCACAACCAGAAGCTTTGGAATTTGGAACTCACAGACTCCACCCCTCGCCGATGACTCCGCAACACTCCTTACCTAATGGTGAGTTTCTCCATTTTTACTGATCCACGTTATACGCTGACCTCATCATTGCATCACACATTTATTTTTTCTGGTATGAATCGGATCAACCGCTGAATTTATCTTGTATCTTTGTACTTTGTTCCCTATAAACTTTTCACTTTCGCTTATAAACCTACCCAAATTCACTCTAGCAGAACAAATTAATAAACACATTTAAAAAAGTATGTTTTTACAATAGATAGTAGATGTTATATTACTGAACGCAATATGCTATTTTTCTTTAACAAAGCCTCATCTCTTTTTAGAAAACTAAGGAAGTATTTAACCGATTACCAGAGGAGTGTGAAGAAGAAGAAATGTATGAAATATTGGTAAGCAGAAATATATTGTTATCATGTATCAATGACAAATCATGCATCCATTGACTATAACTGAATTGAAATTAAATACATTAAAAAACATATTGTATTACATTTTTACAAAATGCTTATGATTAATGTGGAAGTCTAATTAAGCTCAATCAGTAATAGTTCAAATACAAATGTAAGCAGAAGAAGATACATCACTTAGATAAACTGAGTCTGGGAACAGATGAGCTATTAGGGAATGTCAGGGGAATTTAAGAGGAAAGCCCTGCTAAATAAATCTCTTTCCTGAATTTAAGTAGCATTATTATTAGCATAATGCAGCATATTGTGATTTCTAAACTGTTATTGCAAAATAATTAATGCCAAAATGAATGTAATGCAATGTAATTAATGCAAAATATTATGTCTGGAATACAAATGTTAATGGAGAACCGTAATCTTTGTAATAGTTCACACACATGTGAAAGACTTCAGCTTAAGGTTAATAATCAATAATTATTGATGCATTGATAACTTTTAAAGTGTTTCTATATAAAGTTTATTATTAGAAATATGTACACAAGGAGATGGCCATATTTGCTCATGACAGATGCAGGCTCTATGCCTTGCAGGTATTTTTTTTATATCTGCAAGTCTACCCGGGAGGATGTGTCTGATTGAAAGAATTACTCTGTAATCTCTAATAATATAAAATGCCCACAATGCTCTTAATGCACTTTAAAAGACCACTTTTATCCTGCCCACGGGGCCGGATTTCCCACAAAGCCATTGATGCTGGGCCTCGGGGCGGCAGGAAGTAGAGGGGCAGCACAGCCGCCCGTCGGTTAGTTTTTTTTTGTTCTACATTTAGCCCTGCTTCTGGCAAGCAGGGCTAAATGTAGAGCAGGGCGGCCAGTGTTTTAGTAAAAGTGATCCTGGCGATGTCGCCAAGATCACTTGTAATATGCGTGCAGCTCCATCCCCCCTGCCACCCCTCCCTACATGGTACGTCTCCACCTCACCTGGCTTCCTCTCCCCGCTAGCTGCCTCCCTCCCCGCCGTGGTTTTCTGGTTCCCCTGCTCCTCTGGGGACCCGGGACCACGGCACATTCATTCAGTATGGAGAGCGCGGAGTGGAGAATAAATAAAAATTAATTAAAAATGTAAAAAAAACATTATATAAAATAAAAAGTGATAAAAAGTGAAAAGATTTTAAAATATATATATACATATAAAAATAAAAAAGTAAAAGATAACATAAATAAAAATTTAAAAAGGAAAAAAAAAAAGGAAAAAATAGACAAATTAAAACTAACCCTGCTGCTCCCGCCATCTGGTTGCCATTTTTAATGGGGGGGGGTGGTTAGCGGGGAGGGGGGCACATCGAGGAACCTGGCCTTGGGGCAGCAGAGAGAGTATATCCGGCACTGTCTGCCCAAGTATAACTTCAATCTGTTTCCTTTCTTCATCTTTCTTAACTAGACTAGATGTTGAGTATTCTACTCAACATCAGTGCCTAAACTGAACCTACACTTTGGTAATTGAGCGAAACATAACATGTTTGTCAGATATGCCACCCTGCCTGCTGCTGATACTACACTTCTCTGTGTTTTGACATCACCCCAGGCATCTAATGGAGTCCTTTGAAATACGCCCTACTTCTAGGTTTGGGGAGCATGTGAGTTTCTCCACTACCCAAAGATACATAAGAGGCTGCCTAAGTGGCCAATTGTTAACTGCAGTCACATGGGAATGGGGTGATATTTTTTTTGCCCCGTGTAAGCTCTAACTCAAAAGCAACCCAGAACTTACACAAGGACTTTGACAGGGGTTCGGCAGGTGGGGGAACAAATAAAAGATAAGTATTAGCTCTGCATTTGCAAAGTACAGGTTCACTGCAGGGTACCAATTATTTTCTACTGGCAGGTGCTGGCAACAAGCATTAGGTTGAATGTTTAGCATAAAGCTAATTAGAATTTTACTTTTCTTACAGCAAGAAGAGCTGCCAGATCCAGAGGAGGCTGAAATTTATGAATTTCACTTTAGTGACTTGCCACAGACTGAGCTTTTCTTGGTGAGATGTGCTATACAGATGTACTATGAATTAGAAGTGGTCGACAAATTCCATATACCCCAGGAGGTAAGTTAACATGATGCTTTACCTATCATGCAGTGGCAGAGCTTTCTGAAGTAAAACATTAGTGCCACACAATCTAACATCACTTTTTGCTACAGTTCGTACAGTACTAAAGGTCACCACACCCAGAGGTATAGTTTGGCATCATTTAAACCAGTGGTTCTCAACCTGTGTAACCTCAGAACCCACATTTGTTCTTGGTCATTAAGTCGCGACCCAAGTCGCACTGCAATGGAACGGACGGCATTAGGGTACCACACGTTCCGGGGCGGGGGTACAATCTGTGGCTGGGAGGTGAGTTTGGGGTACCATTCAATTGAATGGTAACGCAACACACATCCCACACCAGAATGCACGGTTAGTGTGATTGCGTAGTACAATGCGTTAATTGCACGGGACTGTGTGATTAAGGCACTGTAATAATGTGAACGGGCTCTCGCACTCAAAAACATTTTTTACTTTAAAAACATTTTTTTTTTTACGGTCCATCCACTCTCCCTACCTTACGAGAACTGGAGTGAATCCTCAGCCTGAGGTCCAGTGTGGGCTGCTGTGCTGTGATGGAGCTTCATCCATATGTGCATTACTTGTACTGCTCCCTTGCATGCCCTGTAGAGGTGCCAGGAGCCAGAATGTGATGTTACTCCGGTCCAGGCACCTCTAAAGGACACGTGAGGGAGCTGTAAGCAATGCACATATGGATGGAGCTCTCTTGCGGCCATAGCCCCATCCTAGCCCACCTGAAGCCGACAGTCGGCACCGGGCAGCATATTTTGAATGGCTTCTTGACAGTGCTGCGCTAGGGGGAGGCTGCGGAGCCTCTCACGACCCACCAGTCGAGAACCAAGGATTTAAACAATTCAATGTAATCATGAACCTGACCCAATATGTGTTGGAAAGAGTACTAACCAAAAATGCCAATAGTTAGAACCTAAGATCACAAGCTAGACATTTTTAGAAGGCATCTTTTTCTCTGCTAATTCAACAGAAATAAGACAGTGACTTGGAAATGTGCATAGGAGGATGAAAACTGTTTAAAGCTATGATTGCTCCTGCAAGAAATAAAATATTTATTTATAGCTAGTTGAGTTGAATAATTGAATAACATGAGACTGCCCGGCATCCATATAGTTTGGCAGTTCGTGTCAATTTTGGTTTAGGTGATGGTTCTCAGGCTATCCATGCTGATTTGCATATGGCTCATGCATCAATGCCTTCCACTGGTTGTATTATGGTTTTCGATCTAGGAGTACATTTTTAGCAATGTTCAAAGAAAGCTTCACAGACTTGTTTTCATTAGTCTTACAACACTAACCTGCTAAAATCTGATATTTATTTTGCACAGCTTGCTCTCTATACTCTAACATTACCCAATTTACTTGTTTTATACATACATTACCCTGATGTAGAAACCCACTCAGGCATGGGTTTCATGCAGTCGTGAGCACCTTTTGCTTATTAGGCAAAAATAAATTATTTTCCTTTGTAGGAGTATATTCAGCAGAATATAAATCAGTAAGTGCAACTATCACCAAACATTTACCGGTGGTAAATCAATCACCATTATTTAAAACACATAGAAGATTCACCTGCAATGACAGTCAGATTAACTGCTTTATACATATTATCCAAAGTCCTTCCAACTGGGGGTCATTTAACAGAGGAAAGTCTGCCATGCAGTGCTTTACCAGCTCTATCATGATATGCTTGTATCTCCAAACAGTAATTCACAAATATAACATATCAGCTGCAAGAGGGGTTTGACCACATGTTAACACTTAAGATTCCCAATTATCCCTACACACTATTATACATGTCTAGCAAACTTTGTATGAATATAGGGATTCCTATCTGAATAACTGCCACAACCTAGACAGCAAATAGAGTCCATAGCAGGCCATCCTCCTGGCCTCATGAGAATGTGTATCACAATAAAAAAATCCTACCTAGGCCACTCTGCCATTTAATGTAATTAAAATACCTCTTAAATTCAAGCCCAAATCAAGCCAAATATTTGAAACCACCTAACAAAGTTCTCACTCTTCCCCAGAGTTGGACTTTAAAGTCAGTGGAAGTAGTAACTGTTTTTAACATTTTAAAAGAACAGTTATTGGGCTATTTACATGGTATATGCTATAGATGGATTAATAATGCACTTTATTAAGGGATCCTTCAATGCACCGTAGATTCAATTTTAAATTCACTTATATGTAAGCTAATTACTATTTCAGTAATAAATTTTTACAACCTTTGAACATTTGTATTATTTATTTGTTACTTCACAGGTATTAGTGCGTTTTCTATTCTCAGTCAGTAAAGGATACAGAAAAATTACTTATCACAACTGGCGACATGGCTTCAATGTTGGACAAACCATGTTTACCCTCCTAATGGTAAGAAAACAATATAGGGTTAACTTCTTGGTATGCTGGTAATATGTACAAGGTTTTAACAGTTAGCCTTAGGTTATAGATGGCTTAATATGTATAATTCAGTTGTACAGCAACCCTGCCAAATATGGGGATAGTTTACCAGGGCTTCTGAACAGATGCATTGGAGTCTAGTGGTGTGGTAGATTCGCGCCTCGTTCACACCAGACACAGTGCGTTCCAGCCCGATAGTGCTCGCAGCATTTTGTTTGGACCGCAGGAATTGATATGCCTTGTGTTCCCGTGCGGCCGATCGCATTGCAGCCGGAGGGCGTGGCTACGGTGCCATTCACTTCAATGGACAGCCTCCTGCCCCACAACATAGTGAGCCGGCCACAATGCGATGCAGTGCATTCCAGCCAGAATCGGGCTGAAATGCACAGTGTCTGGTGTGAACGAGGCCTGAATCTAATAATTGTTTTAACATGCAGTTTGTATTGACAGTAAGCTCTGCTTATGCACTTATTATCATATATTTGAATTGCCCAGGACTAGGAGAGGTTTACTTCTGGAACAATACAGATATTAGAATGATGTACTTTTCCAGAAAAGCACTGCATTGGTCAGGTATAGGAGCCAAGACACTTTAATAATCTGCAGGGGTCAATTATGTTAGAAAGACTGCACCTACTGACTCAGCTCTAATGTCATGTGTTCAGAAGTCAAATGCAATGTGTTTAGACCTGTACAATTGTTTCTGAGGATGTAACTTGCAGTTTCAGCAGACAGTCAGCATAACATCAGCAGTGAACTTCCTCTCAAATCACTGTGGGCCAATTAGCCACAGAATAGCAGTATCATTATCAACTGTCTCTGGCTTAACCTTCCTGTGCTCACAGTCTGTGTACACTACGATAACTAGATGTTCTGGTTTTTTTTCAGACAGGGAAGTTAAAGCGTTATTATACGGACCTTGAGGCCATGGCAATGGTGACAGCTGCATTTTGCCATGATATTGACCACAGAGGTACAAATAACCTGTACCAAATAAAGTAAGTTCATCTGCACACCATTTATTAGATGCAATGTCGGCCCAATCTCGAGTATAGTCTATCTGATATAGTTTTAAAAATCTGGGAATCTATCACAAAGTCAAAAACTATAGTAAAAGTCAAATGAAATACCCTCAGAAAAGAATGTTTATCCATATGGCATACTATGGTAGTACTCCAGCTTCTGATGAGGAGCAAGAAAGTGGGCAATATTTGAGCTGTTAAACAAGAACAGACATCTCAACTCTCCCGTATGTTCCAGGAGTCTCCCGCTAATAGATAGCGCCTCCTGGATACCCGGGAGCAGTGGCGACTCTAGGAACAATATATAGGGGGGCACATAAGATACCACAGTCAAAATGGAGGGCACTAATAATTTTCACCACTAAATCATACCACTGAAAAAAAACTAAAAAGTATATATAAATAAGATTACAAAATACGAGAGTAATGCGGTATGATACCTTTTTATTGTACTAACCTAATACTTAGAAGACAAGCTTTCAATAGTTTTTCTTTCTTCCTCAGGTATTGCTTCAGACTTGAGAAAGAGAGGAAAACTCTCAAAAGCTTTTCAATTTCAGGAAACACCAGCCTGTGTAAATAATCACCTATAGCGATAGAGGACTACAAACCGCAGAAATACATTATACAGAAAAGCAGAATACCACCAGCTATAGAGGACTACAAATCCCAGCAATACATTATACAGTAATGCAGAATAATACCACCAGCTATAAAGGACTACAAATCCCAGCAATACATTATACAGTAATGCAGAATAATACCACCAGCTATAGAGGACTACAAATCTCAGCAATACATTATATAGTAATGCAAATACCACCAGCTGTAAAGAGGCTACAAATCCCAGCAATACATTATACAGTAATGCAGAATACCACCAGCTATAGAGCACTACAAATCCCATCAATACATTATACAGCCCTGCGGAATAATACCATTAGCTATAGGGGACTACAAATCCCAGCAAAACATAGAGCAATGCAGAATAATAGTATATACATTTGCCACATACTCTGTGCTGCTGCTCTACTCTGGGGTTCTGGCCTAATGTATTGGGCAGAGCTTGTCAGGAGGGGTGGGGAGGGTCTTAGTAAGGGGAGATGTGCGGGTGGCAGAAGCCCTGTAAGTAGGTATTGCGTGGCTCCCCAGAAGGCTGCCGCAAGGTCCCCAGCTGGACCTAAGACACCAAAGTCAATTTCAAAAATTTAAGTGCTGGTATCGGTTTTTAGTATTGGGACAGAGGTCAGTTATAACGCAGAGTGCATTGGTCGATAATGTATGTCAGAGTGCGGAGGTCAGTAATGTAGCGCAGAGTGCGGAGGTCAGTAATGTAGCGCAGAGTGCGGAGGTCAGTAATGTAGCGCAGAGTGCGGAGGTCAGTAATGTAGCGCAGAGTGCGGAGGTCAGTAATGTAGCGCAGAGTGCGGAGGTCAGTAATGTAGCGCAGAGTGCGGAGGTCAGTAATGTAGCGCAGAGTGCGGAGGTCAGTAATGTAGCGCAGAGTGCGGAGGTCAGTAATGTAGCGCAGAGTGCGGAGGTCAGTAATGTAGCGCAGAGTGCGGAGGTCAGTAATGTAGCGCAGAGTGCGGAGGTCAGTAATGTAGCGCAGAGTGCGGAGGTCAGTAATGTAGCGCAGAGTGCGGAGGTCAGTAATGTAGCGCAGAGTGCGGAGGTCAGTAATGTAGCGCAGAGTGCGGAGGTCAGTAATGTAGCGCAGAGTGCGGAGGTCAGTAATGTAGCGCAGAGTGCGGAGGTCAGTAATGTAGCGCAGAGTGCGGAGGTCAGTAATGTAACGCAGAGTGCGGAGGACAGCAATGTAACGCAGAGTGCGGAAGTCAGTAATGTAACACAAAGTGCGGAGGTCATTAATGTAACGCAGGGTGTGGAGGTTACGCAGAGTGAGGATGACAGCAATGTAACTCAAAGTGCAGATGACAGCAATGAAATGCAAAGTGCAGATGACAGCAATGTAACGCAGAGTGCGGAGGACAGCAATGTAACGCAGAGTGCGGATGACAGCAATGTAACGCAAAGTGCGGATGACAGCAATGTAACGCAAAGTGCGGTTGACAGCAATGTAACGCAAACTGCGGATGTCTCAAACTCAATTTAGTCGGGGGCCACTGGACACATTTTTTAGTCCCATGGGGGCTGCTACTATACATCTTCATTCCCTGATGATCTAGCGGTGATCATTAGTAAGCTCTGCACTAGACCTTACTAATGATCCATCGTTCTGGGGGGGGGGCAAGGAATAACCTAGGGGGTGCAATTGCCAATAGCAATCTAGCTATTCATTTTAATTATTATTCTGACTACGGGGGGGAGGCTTTGGGTCACGGACGGACAGTGGGCACCTCCCTGAAATGAGAAGGGCACCTCCCTGGAATGACTTATTTCAGGTTGGGATCCCTGCAAGAATTTCTGCTAAAATCTCTTTACTTAGCTTTGGGTAGAATTTGGCATTTTTTCAACACCTACCAGCTTGTAAATAAGTCTCAGGCTTTCACGTTTTGCCATTTCACAATGAGATATCATTCACTTGATTTTATGGTGAGCATTGCTATCACCTCTGTCACCCAGCCCCAGATATGTGCTATTCCCCATAATAAAAGGAGACGATACCACAGGCCCAGTCAAAACATTTCTCAGGATAATGTTACGGGAGATTTATGAGGAGGAAAGGGCCAATGGTCTAGAAGCTTCTGAGCATGACTTAGAACATTTTAAGTATAACAACGCAATTTTTAGCTTGTCAGGTTTTTATTGCTGGATGCATCCCCATTAGGGGGATTCACTATCTTTAATTGTCCTGAATGATCACCAATGTCACCAATAAAAGCGAGGGTAAATCCAAAACTGCCAGAAAGTTACCATCAAAGCAGGAAAAGACAGGAAATCCTTCAATGAGGACACTTTTTCCCATGATAACTATCTGAAAAGGGATATCCCTCTCATTGGAAAGATATCCTCTCACTTCCTGTTGACTCTACATATCAAGGAGTGAAGGAAAAACTCCCTAATCAGATACAGGTAGCAAAAAATAAATATATAAGTAAAATAAGATAGTGGTTTAAGTTTACCCTTGCTTTATTCTATCCAAATTGAAAAAAAAAAATTGTTTGGTCCTTATATACTTTATAGTACATAAAGAAGCACAAAGGGATGTATGCACACAGGCAGGGCCGGATTTACTCCACCTGCCGCCCCAAGGCCAGGTTCCACAATATTTTTTCCCCACCTAACTTTATTGCTATCACACAGGAGATAACAAGCTCCTGTGTGATAGCAAGATAGACGGCCAATCATGGTGCGGCGTCCTGTTAATGTGGATAGACGCCGGAGGAAGTATCTGACAGCTGGGGGGAGGAGTTGCGGGCCTACAGTCGGAGCCTCGGGCGGCCCCGTTGTGATTGGACGGCGGCAGTCCTAAATAGGGGAGGAGGAGAGCAGATTGGCTGCAGCCTTGTGAGACACCATAGGCTGACAGCCCAGAACCAGGGAGCAAAGCGAAAATCCGGCACGGATTTCCAGATATTGTGACAGTCATCACGTCTAATACAGGTCTAGGGACATACCACAGCCGGAGTGGAGGAGGAGAGGGGTGAGCAGTCACTGCCGCAGAACTGAGGATCGGGTGAGTATTTCTTCGCCTCCAGAGAAAAAGAAGCAGGGTGTGTGTGTGGAAGGGGGGAGTGTAGCGCCACTACAAGGGTTCATTTTTATGAATAAATGAAACCAAGACAATATTATGATTGGCAATATTACTCCTACTTATGTTGGCTGCGCACAGGTTGATTTCATTAAGATTGATAGGAGGTGTCCATCCTAAAATAACTCACATACGAGATCCAATTTAAGGCAACAGATGGATGCAGTGCGATTACAATGAAAGCTTGGTGTTCTGCATACAAAAGGAGCCTACTGTCTATATTCGTTCCAACAAGTTTTTCCAGCATATTGAGACATTTCTGTATGATAATGAATACTTGAAAACATTTCTGTTTGTATAGAGGGTTCATTTTGATCAGCCCAAGTATAGGTTACCTAAAATACTGTCACATCATTCATTATAAGGAGATTCAATTGTTTGTATAAAACAATCGTTCAAACAGGACATTCTTCCAAATTGTATAATGGACCGTGTGCAATGCTGTTGTGCCTGTTGTTTGTTTTTTTGTCAAGTGTACTTTTCAGTGTGTAGTATGGGACTGTTTAATGGCAGGCCCATGTTTTCTAATGGCTTCTGATGTGGCTTCTTTGGATAATTTTGTTCCATATAGGTCAGGACATCCCCTAGCAAAGCTCCATGGGTCATCTATCCTAGAAAGACACCATTTGGAATTCAGCAAAACATTGCTCAAAGATGAGGTATAACTAAACATTCTGATGCAAATACACTGATAGCATGTACTGTATACTAACAATATGTCAACACCAACACACAAAAAAAAAAACCCTGATTGAAAAAGGGAATACTTTAGACCAGTGGTTCTCAACCTTTCTAGGGCCGGGACCCCTTGGTAACATTTGCCAAGTTATGGTGACCCCCAACCGTAAAATTTAGGGATGCACCAATACTAGTATCTGTGTGGGCTCTCGGGAGGCAATGCGGGCTCTCAGGTGGCTATTGGGACTCTCTGTAGGCGTCCAGTGTGGGCTCTGTGGTGATCAAGCACTCACCTCCCCTCACTTCTGCCTGCTCCCCTCTCTCTGATCCTCTCTGGCCACTGCTGCTGCAGCACCATCTAGGAGAACTGACACTGCTGTGCTAGGAGGAGGCTGAGGAGCCTCTTACCTAGAGCAGCACAAGGCATGTGAGGACCCCCTCAACTGTGGGTCGCGACCCACTTTTGGGTCCCGACCCACAGGTTGAGAACCACTGCTTTAGACGATATGGGGCTGAGAAGGATACATATGGAAAGCAGAGGGAACATAGGGACTCCAATAAACAGCATACTAAATTCTGTTAAGGCAAAGCCAACTGTTACTTATACGATGAATAACTTGGAATGCAGAGAGGGGCATGGTAGGGAAGGTGATGTAAGGTGATCAGTAGGGACAAGCATAATTGGTCATTTTCAATTCGACAAAAAAAACAGGTTATTTTGGCAAAAGTGTATTGGAGTGAATAGGGAAGGCTAAATAAGGATGCTTTTGGTGGCTTATAAAGGTACAATAGCCTTTAAATTGGTTATGGTGGTTGGAGAAGCTCCTTTGAACCATCCTGGGCAAGTTCTTGTGCCATAAAAGCTGAAAACATGATGTTGAATATTGAAGAACAGAAGAACCCTAGCTTTAATCCAAACCCTAACATTAACCCTAACTCTAACCATGTCAGGACTGACATAGTGATCACATGGCTTTGTTTATCAACAAAGGGTTTAGGTTAATGCTAGAGTTAGTGTTAGGATTAGGGTTTTAGTTGGTTAACAAAGCTGTTGTTCACCGTGAATGTTGACATGGTTATCACATGGCTCTGTTTTCTAACAAAACCATGTTTTTGGGTTTTTTTAAAACAAATTTTACCTAAACAATTTGCACAGTGAATTTTGAGCCTAATTTGGATGCTTTTTTTGGTGAAGGTGAAATCTGTCATTTTGCTGCAAAATACATTTCAGTCAAATCGTATCACTCATCCCTAGTGGTACTAGAAATACAAAAAGAAACAAGGGTGCTCATAAGAGTATCAATGGATTTACATATGTATTCACACAGATATAAGTAATGTAGGTAATGTTCACCTCATTGTATGACCGAAATCATACCTAAGCATAGCATGGCAAACAGACTTTAAGGAAATGACACCTCCACCATAGGAAGGTTGGTAATAGAAAAAGATGATGGGCCATTCTGTAGTTAAAGAAGAACTCCAGGAAAAATTATTAACCCCTGCAGTAGGGCTACCCCCGCACTGCAAGGGTTAACTGCTTGTTTTTGTCTTGAAAAACCCGATGCTCTGAGCTGCCTTGTTTTTAGACCGATCCCTAGTGCCTCTCTCCCCCTCCTCTGCACATGTCTAAGGTCCCGTATATCATCACATTTCATACACAGTGGGGTTAATTTACCAAAGGCAAATAGACTGTTCACTTTGCAAGGGATTGTGCACTTTGCATGAGAGGTTTACCTTAGCTTAGTGAGTGTGGTGATACTTTGTAAAGAATATCCAATCATGTGCAAGGAAACAAACAGCAAAACGTTTTCTTGAACATGATTGGGTGATGGAAATCAGGAGAGCTTCCCCTCATTCACTGAAGTAAGGGTAAACTTCACCTGGTAGGTGCAAATTCCCTTGCAAATTGTACAGCGTATTTGCCTTTAGTAAATCAACCCTTGTGCATAGACGTGAGGACACCAAGGAAGAGTCCAATGTTGCAGCAGAGGAGGAGACAGGCTGAAGGGAGCACTGTGGCAGCTGGCCAGCTTCCAGGTTTGGATAAGAATATCTTTGTTTTTTTAGCACCTAGACAAAAACGAGCATTTAACCCTTGCAGTGCGAGGATAGCCAAACTGCAAGGGTTAAGAAAAAGTTTTTTCTTGAGTTCTTCTTTAACCTTTCAAAGTATCTTAGGCAAATGATGATAGTAATGCTGACATATGAAGTAAGACTAGTTTCTAAGTGTACCAGGCCTAAGGCACCTTAGTCCGATGCAGAGGTAATACTGCACTCGCATTGGAAAGGCTTATATAGATTTGTTGCCATACAAAAGAATACAGCACAGCATTACATGGTAGCATAGCATGGTGTATTTATGACATGGCAACAAATCCAGGGGAGCCCTCCATTTGAGTGTGTTATTACAGTTGCAGCTGGTACACTTAGCAGCTACCTCATTTGACAGCATTTCTATCATCATTACCTGAAGATACTCTGAGAAGATATTTATAGATTGGTTCATCATTTTTTCCTATTATAAACCTTCTTATAGTGGAGGTGCCATTTCCTTAAAGCCTGATTGTCATGTTACATGTATGTATGATTTCGGCTAAGGTGAGCATTACCTGTCTATGTGGATACAGATGTAAACCAACTGATACTCTTTGAGGCACCCCTGTTTCTTTTTGCCTATCTAATACCATTTAACCCCTTTGAGGGATTGATCATTTCAATTGCTGCCTTGAAGTGTTTCTCCTGAAGAACACAAACCTAGGGTTGGATTACTGTGTTCCCCTGTCTTTTCAGCGGTTTTAATATTGTGCTCATCCCCAATGGTCAGTGTGAGTAAGAAGGGAATGTAACAGAGGTTTGAAACTAGATTTACTTCTACAGTTTCCAGCTGTATAACATAGTCACACGTAATCATACCATTTTATATCTTTGCCCTGCAATCTAGCCCTTAACGGAGAATAATGCATAAAAATTACTGCATCGGTGTTCACTTTGGTGCGAATAGAAAAACACAATATACCTCCCTTCACTTCTGATTATCTTTAAGTCCAGAGAACGTTGGCAGCTGTTGAAAGTGGGCGAGATAGGTGAAGCTGGGATTGGGGTTTAGACAGATCAGGCCGACTTTAACAAGCCCTTTTTCTATTTTTAATGGCTGGGAAACGTGCCAATAATTAAGATATTTTAATGATAATTTTTAATAAATTTGCTGCTTTGATTTAATGTGGTTCTGTTGTTCACAGCAAGTAAACATCTACCAGAACCTGAACAGGAGACAGTACGATCATGCTATCCATATGATGGATATTGCAATCATCGCCACAGACCTGGCTTTGTACTTCAAGTAAGTTTTCTCCTTTGAAATAAACCGATTGGGCAAAAGATGAAAAAATGCTGCTTCCATGAATCTCAAAGATATCACATTTTAATAAAACTAAGAGCTCATGCATTTCAAATTGTATTAAGGGAATTACATTTTCTGTAATTTACAGCCTAAAATCGGAGTTATGACATGCATAGATGTGAAAGTGATACTTCAGGCAAAAACTGTTCTTTAGAGAGGATAGGGACCTATGTCTGTTTTTTACTGCTGTCTGTTTTCCTGCTGGAGACATTTCCCTTACTCCCTTTCCCAGTAACAACAGGAAGTAAGGGAGAATCTCCCCAATGGGGCAAATGGGAATGCCAAGCCTTGTCATTAAAAAGCCCTTCAGGAATTGAATTTATTACAGGTATCACATTTGGTTTCTTGTCTATTACCCTTATTTGGGTGTTTTTCTTCAATGGTATTGTGTTTGACAACAGTCACATTAGGGTACAAAACTACAGACTAGCATCCAGGCACTACTATTTCCCATAGCTACCACAGTTCTAGTTCTGCAAGCTCTGAAAGCATAAGGCAAGGATACACATAAGTGGAACAACACCCTAATGATCCAAACATTACCAACCCATGGAATTAAATATGCATATAGTAAATACTAACATGTTCTTGTCATATATTGATTTAAACTGATGCATTTAATACTTTCATACAGGAAAAGGGCTATGTTCCAGAAAATAGTGGATCAGTCTAAGACATACGAAAGTGAGAAAGCATGGACGGAGTATATGATGTTGGAACAAACCCGCAAAGAAATAGTCATGTATGTTTAATAGTAGAATATATAATTGCTAATTTAAGACAATTTAAGCAATGAACAGTGGAGGAAAATGGGGCGATTGTTCATAGCAAACCAACTAGATTTCATCCTCAAACTATTTATCTGATTCATAATTGTCAATATCAACATCTTGTTTTCATCAGCCCTGCCCTTTGCCTAGTTAACCATATATATTATACATAATACAGTTTATCATATTTATTAGCTCGCCATATTTACCGGGTTCACTCGCCTCTCGATCCTGTCACGGCTCTCTGCCGTGACAGGGGGAGGGGCTGGATTCCCCTCTCCCCGCTCCGATCTGCCAGCGCTGACTGGCGGAACGGACGGGCGAGGTACAGCTGGCTCTGTCTCTAGATAGGCAGAGCCAGCTGTCACTCACGCAGCTGGGCGGATCCCGTCATCTAAGTCGAGATCCGCTCCGGCTGCGGTGTCTCAGTATACCGCGAGCTGTAGCTTGCGGTATACTGAGCTTAGGGTAACGGGAGGACGCTAGTTTGTGTCCTCCCGTTACCCCAAGGAGAACTATGGGGGAAAACACTGACCCCATAGTTCTCCTTTAAAGCTGAACTCCAGGAAAATACATGCAAATGCCCACTTAAAGTCCACAATACCTCATCCTAGTAAGTACATGCTGATTCTGGATAATACCTAAACTAACATGGTGCTGTCTTCCTGGAGAGAAAAGCAGATGAAAGCATTGTAGTGAGATGTGTGTGAGAAGTTAATACCTCTGACTATTAGACTTACATGGAAAACAGTACTCAGTCTTTTTTGGGGGGTTAAAACCATATCCTTCCGAATAGTCTTTAGTTTTGCTTGAGTCTGTTGCATCAGTAGTCAAATTCTTGTAGTTTGTTGCCATCTTCGATTTGTAAAAGCTAAAAACCAACTGAACGTTTATTAGTACCTAACATATAACCATTTTATTCTTATATAGGGCAATGATGATGACAGCCTGCGATCTCTCAGCTATTGCAAAGCCATGGGAAATACAGAGCAAGGTATACATCTTGAAAAAGAATGGCAACAACTCTTTTATATAAAACATACTACACACACACACACATACACACACACACACACACACACGATACAAATATAGAGTTAATGCACTTTATTGCCTTTATATTTATTTATTTTTTGCCTAAAAATAAATGTTAAATGTCAGTTTTAAATACATTTTTATGGTGCTCCTGATTAACAGGCATGCAAAGCTGAACTAGTATATGCATTGTATTTTTTATACAGAAGATTTTGTTCAGTAACTAGACGCTTTAACAATACAACTGTTTGTCCAGCTGTCAGAGGACTGTTGTGTTCCCACAGTGGGCAGTATTTATGCTGAGTGATTATTAGTTCCAAGACATAGACTAATTATGCAGAGTCGACAGAGAGAGAAACATTGCAAGGTCAAGCGCATTCTCAGAGTGTATTTTTCCATAACATGGTATTCAGAATTCTGCTGTATTCTTTAACTTGGGTTACTAATTTTATTTTGCTACATAGTAGTAATTTACAGGACTCTACAAAAACATACTGTACACTATATTTAAAGATGAACTCCAGGCGGCACAAACTTGTTTGATTGAAATATATTTCTCAGTAGCCTCAAAAGCTATAAATCTACTTTGTGTGCACCAAATGCTTTTGCAAACTCTGTTAGAACCTTGTTAAAGTTGCAGTGACATCATCATCACTGTGCCGCACATAGCCAGTGCAGAGAGCAGAGCTGTGGGAGGGATCCACCAGACCTCCATCCACTATAGGCCTCCTGCAGAAAGCTACAGGAGGGGGCAGGTACAAGACCAGTCACCCTGTACAAGGAGGGAGAGCAGCAGTGACTGGTCTTTATTATTTTGAAATGAGGTGTACAGTAAGAGTCACGGTTCTGTAATCTGATGTTTTGGAGAGGGTGGCGCAAGGGTTAGCTTGCAGGAGAGAGATAGTTGGTCTATCACGTGATGCTAACAGCCAAAGATCAGGAGGAGATGAGTCAGTAGCACATGGTCTATCTCATAGTATATGTCAGTGCCAGAAAGTGTTGTCACCCTTCTTATGCTATGTACCTATATGGCACACAGGAATGGACGGAGCATAAGACTTTGTAAATTGTTTTACAAATAAACAGTTTGTATACATGTTCTTTAAAAATGTATGTAACTGTTTAGCTGGAACTGCCATTTCATTCATTAGAATGCTTACTTTGTAGGTTGCATTGTTGGTTGCAGCAGAATTTTGGGAACAAGGTGACTTGGAAAGGACTGTATTGCAGCAAAATCCAATCGTAAGTATAATTTATGAAGAACTGTAACAAAAAACAAAAATAAAGATATTGATAAATAGCATTCAAAAACAATTTTTACCTCTGAGATTTGCATGCTCCGTTGCTAATGCAATGGCCTGCATTAGGATGGCGCAAAGGATGGCGCATGAAGTGTAAGCCTTCATGCATACAAACAAGGTACAATGTCTGAACTGCAAAGATGAATTTAATATCATAGTGAACTCAGCAATACTATGTATTTACAGGCAGCAACCAATCCAGTTTCCGCTTTTATTGTACAGTGAACATAGACCAATGGAAGTTGCTTTGTAATTGGCTTTTGTGGGTCTCTTCACATATTAATGAAATTACCTTTTTATATACATATATATATATAGATATATAGATATATAGATATATAGATATTATATATCTATATATATAAAATCACCTTTTTATTAAAATTTTTATTAATTACATATCTTTACAGGAATTTACACATATTTAACACAAAAAAGAACACATGAAATCAGATTTTGTTTTAACAATGGAGTGATAGAGTGAAATCATTTAGAGAAAATGGTGAAATATACATATTTCATAATATGTTTTGTTGTTTTGTTATAGCCAATGATGGACAGGAACAAAGCTGATGAGCTTCCAAAGCTGCAGTGTGGTTTTATTGATTTTGTGTGCACATTTGTATATAAGGTATGTATTTAATAATGTGATATGCTATATTTTAGTCCATAATAGCATGTATCACACCATAAGTGATTCCTTCATCAGGCTGACATAGTGACTGCAGTCATTATGTTTGCCTGATAAAGGAACCACTCATGGTTCCGAAACGTTGCTGTCCACTAATGCCACCATGTATTCGTAACATCTAAATAAAGGGTGTTTGACACAGTGGAACAGGTGTGCGGGTGACTACTTGCATATCATCCTTCAATTTGAGGACACACAATAACAGATAAGGCAGATATGACTAACAGATAATGAATAAGCCTGTATATGAATAGGGAAAATAATATGCAGATTACCGCAGGGAACGTCTCTTAGTATTATCCAATTTGAAAAGGTTTCCTAATGACATCAGGTTCTGATCCAAGCGTGCCACGGTCATCAGGAGCATCAGCGTTGTGCTAGAGTTCTTTGCTCCTTCGAAGATGAGACATGGGGGTTGAATGTCCACCCCATTCACTAAGCTAAGGGGAAATTTCCTTGGAAAATGAACAGCCTGTTTACATTTAGTAAACCCACTCCAAAGTGCTCTGACATATTTATTGGAATTGACCAGATCGTGGAGAGCATCTCTTCTCTTAATATTATTCACAATGGTTATGCAGGGATATTATTGCAATCCTAGAAGACCAAGTATCATATGGTATTTTTCAGACTATTCTACAACCCCCCTTCCCCTCCCCCACCCAGACAACTTCACCCACCAGCCATATTTTTATTGGGATCATGTAGTCTCGGCCTGACAAATTGTTTACATCCTACCAGTTGATATTTTTTCCCCTGGACTGCATCTGCATGTTGGATCCTCATAGATGTGTATGGGGCCACCTCCTGAGTGTCTACAACCTCAGAAATTGGCCCTATAGATGTCTATAAGAAGCTAGTGGGAAGAAGATATAGCCTGCAGGATTTAAGCAGTGCAGCTGGCCAGCGATGTGAAATGTAAATTAAATATTCATGTAGGGCCATGTTTACACCAAAATGTTATATGATAAAACATAATGATTAGGGCAGTTAACCAATAACCTATAACGTAATGTTCATATTAACACAGGAGTTTTCAAGATTTCATTCAGAGATCCAGCCAATGTATGACAGGATTCTGAACAATAAAAAAGAATGGAAAGCTTTGGCAGATGAGTATGATGCTAAAATGAAAGCTTTGGAAGAGGAAAAGCAAAAGAAAGCAGGCATACAACCAGCAAAGCCAGGTATGGATGACTTTATCCTAGTCTGTTCAGGGAAAATGATCTTAATACATTTATCATATCACAAAGATAAGACTAAAAATCTCCTATTCTTGAGGCGCCAAGAAACTGGACCTGGAGTGACATGATTTTAAGTGTAGTTCCACTTGTGCATTTTAAATTGTGAAAATCCCAGTATATGTTTGTTATGTTCCCATTCACACAGCAAAAATAATAAAAAAAATATTTATTACCTTTTAGATGTTCCTTTGGTGAAGGACTTTGTGCAGATTCCAGACTTCTCTGGGCAGTCTGAGAGTGAAAGTTAAGGGACAGACTGAACTTCCTCTCATTGACATTCAAAGCTTATAACCTTTAACCCTCTGGTGGGACAGAGAGTTTGAAAATCTAGATTACAACTGATAGTGACATCTACCAGAAAAATGCAGACAGGGTTAATTAGAGTAAACATAACTTCCCACAGGGAAAAGTTAGGTATGGTTTTTAATCAGGTATAAAGCACTTTAAAAAACAACAATGTTTAAATATATTTTTAAGTTATACTATGTGAATGGGAACATATAACAAACATACAACAGTTGAACCCCCAATTTGGCTGCAAAAGTGGAAATACACTTTCAGCTGTTATCATGTATAGGCAACTAACATCATATTTGGCTGACATTCAGATCATACATAATGGCTCAACTCTATTCAAACATATCTACATTTGTGTTTGCCTGCAGACTTATGCCCATAAATGTATAGGGAATGAATAGTGTTTTGTATACATTTTCTTTGTTATATTTATATTATTAGGAAAAAATACATCTTTAAAAATGTTTTCTTTTTTAAGTCAGGTAAATATAAATATTGAATTGCCACATTTCCAACTTAGCAGGAGTTCTAGGCTCTTTTTTTACATGCTTTTAATGCTGGTTTTATTTACTTTGATGAAAAAGAATGGTTTACAGAGCTAAATAGCGCAAGCCGAAATTTACACACAGCCCGATAACCGAGGGGAGTGACTTGTCCCTCTGTCTGCTTGCTCTGTTCAGACAGCTCTGTAAATTAGAGAGACAGCCGGAAAGCAAGCATATTCTGCCATTCTTTATATTTAGTAAACCCATAAGGCCATATGACACCGGAGTCATGGGTGAGCCTTGTGTTAAATCTTCATTTGAAAAATAATAAATATACAGTATATATAAGCAGTAAAAAAAAACTTTAAAAACATGTAAATGTGTCTCCAAGTAAAATGACATTCCCAATAAATTATATAAATGGTTGATGCTACACAAGACAAACACATTTTCTTTTTGTCTTTGCAGCCCCAGCCTCAACAGGAAAAGAAAATGGCGGCAACGTCCCAGTAGTCGAAGAAGCACCTCAGTCCAAAAGCTGTTCTATCTTATGAGACTGTAAATATTTTCTTTCTTTTTCACCTGTTTTTGGTAGGGTGTTGATACTATCAAATAGCATGCTAGACGTAGCTACTGTGAAACATACTTTGCAATTTGTATAAAAGATGACAATAAATATCAACCATATGTGAAAATATCTTCTTTTATAGTTAAATGTCACATATGTTTGCCTCAAATACTGTGTATTCTTGCTGACTGAAATAAACGATGGAGCTGCAATCAGGGGAACTGGAAGCAAATAGTCATTTATATTATGTTTGACTACTGTCAGCATTGCCAGTAGAACAGCAGCCATATTGGCTGTTTAAAGTAAACCTCTATCCCAAAATTGTTTCCAGCTTTGCATAGTCTAAGGAAGAGTTAGAACATCCGTCAAGTTGGTTAGATCCAACATCATGATTTGTCCTGATGACAATTTTCATGACACAGAGGGAGATCTGTGTGAAAGGGGATATTCTCCAACTGGATATGTGTTTTGTGTGATCTCCCCTCATTAATGCTCACTTCCTAGCATGTCACTGGATGGAGGGAAGTTCTTATGGATGGGGACACCTGATGTAAACCTGATGTAGGTTTTAACCCCTCTATGCACTAGAATTTAAACTAAAACAAGTTTTGGTTGAAGCTCTACTTTAAAATATTTTAATAACCATGCAAACTGAGCAAGAATTAAAACAGTTGTGTGTGTGTGTGTGTGTGTGTGTGTGGCATGTCAACATGTTAATCACTGGAAATAAAAGGCATTTAGAGCAGAATGTATGCCATTGGATGTTTACTGGATATCCATCGGCAGATGCAGCTCTCAGCCTTCTCTCTTCCCTCACTCTGTTGGACACTCATGTTACTTTCTTTGCATCAGCAGCATAAAGGGTTGTGCAGGACACCCTTCCAGGTTTTACCCCTCCTTCAGAGCTGCTTGAAGGAGGCAAACTCCAGGTGGGGTGGTAGCTAGATCTTTCGTCAGCTAAATATCCAACAATACACACCTCAGCTAATCTTTTCTCTTAGACATCTCTGAGGAAAGAAACACTTCAGCTCTGTAACTTCATCATGGCGGTTAAAAAGGGAAAAAACACACACACTAAGGTGGCTTGTAAGTGAAAAAAACATGTTTATTATTATTCAAATAGGAAAAAAGAGATTTTAAGGAGTACTTTGTTATTTGCATAGAAATCAGCTTTAAGAAAACCCAGTTTGAATTTCCCAAGGTTATGATAGGCTGTTGTTAAATATAGTCTCTTAAAAATAAAATAAAGCAAGAACTCCTAAAGAGTCCATCCAGGTTGCAATGATTGCAGATTGATTGCTTTGTTTCAGTCACAGAGAGTAGCCTCAAATACAAAATGGTAAATATTGTTGATGATTACAATGCTGTGATTGTAATATGCATGCAGTTATGCTATGTGTTATAAAAGCTAAAAATTGTAATAAGTGGATTCAGTGTGAACCTTCTGGAGACCATGCTATTGTGTATTCCCGTGAATAAATGATGAAAAGCCCTTTCTATGTAAATAAAAGTCTGATCTCTCCACAATCAGCCAAGAAATCTTATGTAAATCAATATTTGTTCATATGGGCAGTTTTTATGAGAGAAATGATCAATATTATAGGATGGTAGAATAAAACAGGAAGATTGCAGGTTTTGCATTGTCCGGTTGTACTTCCCAGGTCGATTATAACTAATTCAAGTATTCCAGTATAACCTCAGCAAGAGCCTAAGATTTTGAGCCTTAGAAAGGTAAAAATCGTATTACTAATAAGTGGAGTTAAACAATTACTTGTGATGGTCTGTTTGATTGGTAATTTGTTTATCTATTTATGTGCACTGTGAATGCATTAGAAAGGTAGGAATAGCTATTTTAGATCTCACCTATAATGTAGTAGCAAGCTGAATTGTGGGCAAGGAGAATTAAGGTGGTTGTGTCCTTGCTGTTTTGTGAGTGGGCAATCTAAGCTCATTCATAATCAAACAATGAGATACAAGGTCCTTGCGGCAAAATGGTATCAATCAACGTCATCGGGAAATTCATACACCTGCTTCTGTTCTTATTACAATTCCTATAACTGATATGTAGAGTTGTTACATATTTTCTTGATAAGACCCTTGCCACATTATTTTATGTGCTCTACCCTGACCTTCATGCACCTATTAATATATGCTAGATGTCCGAAGTAGGGTATTTTCAGCACTATTTTTATACTACAGGGCCCAAGGCATGACTACAAGGGGTGTACTTGCTTTTGGGCTCACAATGCTTTGTGATCTAAATAGAACTACTACTCCCCTTTTTTTACCAACTGCATTTGTAAATAGAATTGAGTGCTGCTGCTCTGTCACCTACATCTCTTTTGTCACCAGGCTTTTCAAGCTGTAGAAGGCTAAAATGATGTGTACCTTAAATTCAGTCCAACAATTCTGTACCTTCTTCCTCTGCAGAAACTTTGTACATTAAATTGCACACTGAATAGCATATTCTTAAATATATTTATATTAGGAATTACTGTATGAGTTTCACTTGCATGATTTTAATTAACCCACACAACTTTCCCTTGGTCTGAACCTTACCTCTGCTTGATAACCATATGCAACACAATATGTTACTGAAACATTTTATATATACACCATATTTTATATTTATCATACATACGCGTTCAGTAGATGTATATCTTACTATTTTATGTGAACTGAAATTACTTATAAATAAGAACAATAAAAAGCACTAGCTGCGAAACCTGCAGCTAAGCTTAAGACCCAAAGCAAAATGTGAACTTGGGACCTAGAGCTTCTAAATAGTTATACCAATTACACAAAAAAGACTGACAGGGCTATTCACTCAATGGTGATGAGTTTGGAGAAGTGAACAATCTAGACCAAAATATTGGAAACATTCTCCAATTCAGCTCACTTTCCAGTTCAGCTATGTTGTCCTAGATTGTTCACTCCTCCTGCCTTCTCCAAACTCTTCACCCATCACCTGCCACATGGACATAAAAAAAGCCGTCTCGCTTTTCCTGTTGAATTTTAAAAGTGTTTTATATTATGGGGAATTCAGTGAATTAAGATTTATATAATTGTGGATGGGAACACCAAAAAGTAGACAAAACGCTGCCTCGTGTTTCAGGAAAACTTGGTGAACAAAAAAGGCAAGTGGTGTGTGGCCTTATATTAAACTTGTATATGAACATAGCTGGGAACTACAGTATTCCAGAAATATGTCATTTCTGGAGTCCACAAAAGATTTAAAAAGTCTTTAATTAAAATAAATTGCTCGGGTGAACCAAATATTTACCCATAAGGTTTTTTTTGTATATCTGTGTTTACTATCTATGCGGTTTAATATCGGAATCAGACTAGTTCTGATCAGAGAACTGCAGAAAACACCAATATTTTACACTTTAGGTGACATTAGATAAAAGCTCTATTTCCAAGAACCTTTTATCCAAAAAGACCCAGATGCTAGTAGGAAAATAAGTGAAAAAAAAGCACTTCAAAGCATTTCCTCCTGTAGTCACTTTGAGTTGCAATACTAATACACCTATATTCTTATAGTCACTAAAGGCTAGGTAATATTTTACAAAATCTGATTGTTGCCTTATATAAAAAACAAAGTTGCTAACTATAAATATAACACATTTTGAATTAAGGTTATATTGGGGCCTGGCAGCCATGATTACCTCTGCTACCACTCTTGCTACATGTTGATGAGTGGGTAATATGTGGCTGTGTAATAGGCCTCATTTGGCATGATAAAGATCTCTTTAAAATGAATAGTCAAACATGAGCTTCACAATCTTTTTTAAAATAAAACTTCAGCTCCATTAGAAAACGTCCCCAAGGTCTACAAATATTGCAAGGATCTTAAAATTTTGTATTGATGATTCCAACCAATTTCTTGAAGAAATACCACATTACTGCAGATCACACCCTTTTCATATGAACTTTTAAAATTTTTCAAAATGTGCGTGGCTTTACCAGAAAGGTGTGTGTGTGTACAGAACATGTCTACCAGTGTAGCAAACCACGCACATGCAAATTTCCCTCCCCGCTCACTCATCTGCCTAGAGAATACAGCAAGTGGAAGTGTCTCTAATAGGACTAATCAGTAAATCTGGTATCAGGAAATGTGCTGCATAAAGACCCCCTAGAAAAGTACATGGTGGAATATTTATGTTGTCAATTTAAACACTCTGTCCTCATTTCTTTCTTGGGAAATCCAGCACGGTCTTTGGCTGGCAAACAGATGTTCCAGGAAACCAATAGGAATCTGTGAATTTATCCGGGCACTGTGTATTGAAAATTGTTTGGTCTAATATATTTCATTAGAAATCAGTGTTGCTATTACTAAACATTGTAAAGAAATTACATAATGGTACTTCAATAAATAATGCACGCGTATCATTGAACTCCAGTTAATAGATTTGAAAACATGCAACTGATTCATCAAGCAGCATTGAGGCACTTAAGGCATGCTAAATAACACTTAATTTGTGCTAACATTTAATTTAAAATGTAAAAATATAGACTAATAGACCACTTAAAGTGTATTTCCACTTTTGCAGCCAAATTGGGAAAGCACCTACTTATTTGTTACATGTTCTCATTCTCATTCACATAGCATAACTTTCAAAAAATTGCACCTTACCTTTATTTTAGATTTTTTTTTATTGTGCTAACACCAGCATTAAAAAATCTTGCTTAGTTTTCACTGTCTGGGGAGGTTGGGGGGACTTTTGTTTCAAATGATTGACCCTGTCTGTACTGTGCAGGCAGATTTCATCATTACTTCTAAACTAGATGAGCAGGATTGTCTGTCCTAACAAAGGGTTAAAGCCCGTTGCATGTTAGTGAGGAGATGCTCAGTCTGTCCTAAGTATTAGGACAGTCAGAGTTTGTTGTTACTGAAATTGAGTATGGTGGAACATGCAAATGCCTGCAAATCTAAAAGGTTTTTTTTTTCAATGCATTAATTATTATTAGATATGCTTCGTGATT